ACAAATTCTAAAAAGAACAAATGAAATAGGTATCAATTGCGTAATCTGCTTTGTTTTGGTCGTAAAGGAAATGGATTCAATAGCATCACACGTATCGACCCAAAAGCCTCTTGTTCGCCTTTGGCGATATCAGCATTTTGTAAAATATTGTGTAACAACAAAAAGACTAAAATGAGTCTGTTTGGAGCTCATTCTTCATTGAACGCCTTCAACAAAGATCTTTTCATATGCTTTAAGTAGTTTTTCATAGTGAAAGATTCAGGATACCGATAAGGACTAAATCACGGTCGGAGAGACATAGAGGTAAAATACAGTAAATGTATGTAAATGTGAGAGGCCTGTGAAATGCACTCTACTATTGAGTTTGTTTGGTGCTCATTCTTGATTGAATGCCTTCAACAGCTAAACCTAAGTAGAGCGGAATGGAACGTTAATTCAATAGCCCCTCTGGATATCAGCCAGGTAGCTGAATGGGCCACCCTGTTTAAATAAAGTCTTTGATTGATTTGATTGATTGAATGGCCATGAATACAGTTGGAGATCCCGATCCGCTAGTAAATTTATATTTTCAGTTAAAATATTTATTCGCGGTATAAATTAAACTTATCTTTTTTGATGGGGATTTTATGGAGAATAACGAAGCGTCAGTCAGCACATTTCTGTAAAAAAAATATTATGATGTTATGATGTTATGTTTATTATTATGACATATAAGTCCATCGCTACTCCTCCTCATCCACTTCTATAATGGCACGCATGAAATGCGGCTTTTATGACAGTGACGCAACTAAAATCACGAACGAAAATGCGTGCGCGTTATTTCGATCGCTATGAAAATAAAGTACGACATATAATCTCAGGATCAACTGCAAATTACTCTAAGCGTACGGTTCACATGAGGTATGTTCCTAGTTCAGATGAGGGATACTCCTAAATCAGGTAAGGGATACTCTTAGTTCAAGTAAAGGATCCTATAGTTCTATTTCGGAATATTTGGTCCTCTTCTCTTCTTTGCTGTGCTATGGTACGAATTAGTCTGTACCTAGTTTAGTACGGGCTTAATTAGTTCTATCAGCACAAACAAGCTCAAAAGTCGCGCGCGGAGAAAAGAATATTTTAGCTTGTTGTATCTGACTGAAATCGAGTCCAGGACTGGATAAACCGTCCCTTAAGTTTTTCACATTCACACAGAATGTCCTTTTTATTATTTTTTCAAACTACAAGTGTTAGGAATTCAGAAAATGGAAACTAGTTGGATTTCAAAGCGAAGGCCAAGATACATGGGATGAGTACTACATCCCGGGCGGAGAGACAGAAAGGTAAAATACAGTAAATGTATGTAAATTGGGCTGTAAGGGGCCCGTGAAAAGCACTCTACGCCCGTGTTATAGTTTTTACCATAAAACATACCATTCATCACAAGCCAAGCCCTGCTATTCTTTATCTTTCCTGTTTGTTGTATCACGAAGCAATCGGAGACGAACCCGAGGCTAATGAGGATGGATTTCTAACCGCTAAACTAAGGGACTGCGCAATAATTATCGGGGTGGGGGTTCTAAAATTAATAGGGGGGGCAAAAGTTAAATTGGAGTGTAGGGTAGGGGGAGTTAGAAG